ACCAAGGAATTATATGGTGCTTCACGGTAAAGCCGCAAAATCCTGTCCATAAACGATTATGATCACTTATGTACTTCTCAAATGAAATGTAATTATATACTTAGGTTTTGTTTGTTTTTCATAAAAAAACCTCTTATGTCTGATTCGTTAAGAGTTACGGTCATTCAAACTATTTGTTTTTTTAAATATTTTCAGAGGTACTTATATCTTATTGTTCTCTTATCTGGTAAGAGGTAAACGAACTTCTTATTTGTCTCTTATTGTTCTTCAAACGTTTATTAGTTTACAAAAGCAAACAGTATTATTGATTCAAATTTCAGACTTAAATACCATCTTTTATAAATCAGAAGTGAAATAAGATTTCAGACTTCAACATCTTTTAAAAGACAAACACCACCGAAGTTTTATAACCATATTTAACATATTAATTACTGTAAATTTCAACTGATTACATAAAATAACCTTGAACCGTTAATAAAAACTTTCCCATTTTAATCCATCCGTTTCGTTTATTTGAATAAATAAAAGATTCACCAAATTTTAGTTAAAGAAAGATTTGTGAAGAAAAAAAGGAGCACTTTCTTTTATATATATATATATATATATATATATATATATATATATATACATAGAGAGATAATTTGTTTCAAATGCAATCTATTACATTTGTATAATTAATACAACCTAATAAATTGAAGTATTTATAAAAATGATGAGAGTTCATTTATTATGATTTAAATATTTATGAAAGATGAATAAGATTCATTAATTATGATCAATACTTTATATTAGGAAACAATCAAAACTTTTATGAAATTACATATTTATCAAATTAAATACACGATTAAGATTGAGTTGTATTGGTTGCATAAATGTAAGAGGTTGTATAATAACCCACCTATATATATATATATATATATATATATACACATATATATATATACATATATATATATATATAGAGAGAGAGAGAGAGACTTGGGATCATGTGAGACCAATGGTTTTTCATGAGACCCGTAAGACTAATTTTCAACCCTTGGATTAAATCAACAATCGTCAGATGTGAACATTCATAAATGTCACGAGACTTCTCAATAATTACAAAATTGCCACTGTGAACTTTAGATCATTAGATCATTAGTTTATCAAGTTGATCAATGAACATAAATTGGTCTTACGGGTCTCACAAAAAACCCTTCGTCTTATGTGAACCCAACTATATATATATATATATATATATATATAGGTGGAGATTCAAACGAGAACCCCTGTGATTTACGAGAACGCGAGAACAACCCAATAACCTCAAACTTTTTTAATTAATAAATTAACTTTTA